GAGCCTCTGCTCGGCCGCATCAAGAATGACAAGTAAGACATACTCACACAAAAACGACCCACACACCATTGGCGAACAAATAAAAAAATCAATAACATATTGTTGAGCCTGCAGGGGGCTTGTCCTTGTGTTAATTTGATGTATAATTACTCATTCTATGTTAACTGCTTCCTGCAAGCAGGTACTCTCATATAAACCCACACCAAACACATAGGCTTTAAGATGGTGTGGTGAGTGATTGCTGATGGGAAGTCACAGCATGGTTCATTGTTTAAATGGACTCGAGGTGCCACACCTTTCAGACAAGCATTGATGACCACCTGAGGTTATGATAAATGTGTGCGTGGTTTGTATGTCTGTGCTGATGGAGTTTCTGTTTGCTGTAGGAGAACTGTGGTGTGCCCCATCATCGACGTAATCAGTGACGATACGTTTGAGTACATGGCAGGATCCGACATGACATACGGGGGGTTCAACTGGAAGCTCAACTTCCGCTGGTACCCTGTACCCCAGAGAGAGATGGACCGCCGTAAAGGAGACCGCACCCTGCCTGTCAGGTGGGTGATGCAGCGGGAAGAACCTTTTAAAATGGGACAATCTGGGTTAGATTCGCCTTTTTGAAGTATTATTCAGCTCATTGTTTAATCACTGTAAGCTCCGGGTCAGCTAACCATGACCTTTGACCTCTCAGTTGGGTCAAGTGAAAAGAGAATTTGACTACAGGGACAAAATTGAATTATTAGTAAAGTACCACATGAATCATACACCCTAACTCTGTCAGTCAGCTCTTTCACATAACATATACTGTGAGTTTTAGCGTTGCTTATAGGCATTCACAATTGATGTGTGCAGAGAAGTCACACTTAATTTACCACAGTTAATAATCATAAAATGTCACTATGCCAGAATTCCTGAAAGAACAGACTGAACTTTTGAAGTCAAGATTTTTAAGTAAGGTTCTGTTTAATTTTGTTCCTTGCATCATTTGTCATGGCTCAGGCTTTAGAACTAAAATCAAGAGGTTATTTCTGCCTATCCATCATGTCTTCTTCCTGCTCTTGTTTCTCAGCATGCTTGACGCCATCATTCAAGGTCACACACATAATACATCTTATATAACACTCCGTGCCCCTGTTTTCAATTGTTTTTCACAGCTCTGCGAGACAAAATTTTCGTAAGGGTGTCTTGTAAGTGGCCTAAAAAAAAATGGGATGAAGTGTCAGGGCAGGAAATTAAGTACTTTAAAAAGTAAAAGTACTTTACACTAATGACAATATTTACATAAACCCTGTGTTGTTACAAAGTGGCGCTACATTTTTATGATTTGAAGAAGACTTGAATGGTATTGCACATAAGCACGTTTTCAGAATGAGTGTATTAGGTTTCAGTTAAGCACGAATATAGCTCACATCATCACGTAGATTTTGCCAGTGGGAAATTAGAAGATGCAGTAGAATCAGCCGCTGATGTGATTTCGACTTTAATGGCTGCTAATGTGACTTAATTAACCAGTGCGAAGCAAGCTACAGGCCTGTTGCTGTCGCACTTAAGAGGAGCCTCATGGAGTGACGGTACAGGAGGAAACCTCTACAGCTAAACTGGTTGTTACCAGCTCAGCTACCTTGTAATTTACAGTACTGTGCAAAAGTCTGAGGTCACTCTGGAAAGTTCTTCTTTACAGCTATTGGGCATAAAAAAAAACGTATCCAAGGTCTAAAGAAGACTTAAAGAAAATGCTCTGAACATATTAAATCACCTTGTGTCAATTAGAGGCTGTAAATCCAACAAACAAAAAGCTTTACAGGATCGCCTGGAAATAAATGCATGACTGCCATGGAGAAATACTAAAGTTTTACATTCTTAGTACAAAATAATAACCTGTATTTGCCGTTTTTGTTGCTATTTATTGTAGCAGTATCTGTGTTTATTTCAGTGCACAGTGGGGTTTAGGCAATAAACCCTATTTTTATGTAACTTTTTGTAAGTGATACACATTCACTGTTTAGATAAATGTCTTTTAATTAGAAATTGTTTTGCACTGCAAAGTACATCTTAAGGATTCCCACTAATTAGTAGGTTCTGTTTGTTTTACTGTGATGTCTTTGAATCTTGTAAAAACAGCGATTTAATTGTAAGCCTATGAGTTTGGAGAGCTTTCATATGTTTGCAGTAAAAATAAAAAGCACACAGACATCTATTATTAATGTGGCCATAATTCAGCACTTTGTTTTAATTCTACAGATCCTATGTCTGATTGTTCAGCAACATCTGTGTTGTTCAAAAAGCTAGTATTTGTGTTGCTTATTATTTCCCACTCTCACTCAAGTGCTCCAAGCAAACCGTTACTTGCTCTCAGGATGTGTTTCATCCATGTTTGTCCATTTGTATGCAAGGTATTGTGTGTTGGTAAGGGAACTTGGATGTCAAATGAAAGCAAAAACAGGCAGTAAGGTAAATAAGCCTGACCTACAAAGGAGGAAGCCATTCTGTTGGGGAGAAATAAAGGAAGAGGCTTTGAGGCCATTAAATAGTGACTCAACCAACAGAGAAGTGAGCATTAAAACGGGATGAGAAAACAGGAAAAAAGAACAAGGAGTGAAAGTGGTGAAAGATAAAACTCTTATGGGATCTGTAGATACTGTGAAAGCAGGCCTTTAGTGAATTAAGTGGCATTAACCCACCTCACTTGTTAGTTACCCTGGGCTCCCCTCTCTGTCCAGGACTCCCACCATGGCGGGCGGCTTATTCTCCATTGACAGAGATTATTTCCAGGAGATCGGCACATATGACGCAGGCATGGACATCTGGGGTGGAGAGAACCTGGAAATCTCTTTCAGAGTGAGTAAACACACCCGCAGCCAAGTGACATGACTGTATTCTTCCATGCACTGGCAGGCATTCAGGAGTGAGTGTCTGCTCACACACATGCACATTACACTTTTTGACTTCTTTGACTAAATAGCTGAATTGACTAATATTTTATGAGGCGTCATTCTGACTGGCAATCAAACTTATTCAGACTGTCACAACACAGACAGGATCAATCTGCGTCAGAGTTCACAGGTCAGCCTTTGCTCTTTCAGGCCGTACAGTCTATTCTTCCCCATATATGTGTGCTGAGGAGGCTTGTTCTTCACAGATTTGGCAGTGCGGTGGGACTCTAGAAATCGTTACATGCTCTCACGTGGGTCACGTGTTCAGAAAGGCAACACCCTACACGTTTCCAGGAGGAACGGGACAGATCATCAACAAAAACAACCGGCGCTTGGCAGAAGTGTGGATGGATGAATTTAAAAATTTCTTCTATATCATCTCACCTGGTGAGTAAAGGGGTGTGTGTGCGCGTGATTGTGTGTGTGATTGTGCTCATGCAAGTATGCATGTATGTGCTCGTGTGTGGAGGCTAATCTCCGTGGCAGGTGTGATCTATCCATTAACCCGGTGACAGTGTGATATTGCAGTGGTGACCCAACAGTGCGGGACGCAGGGAGACGAGTAATTTCACGCTACTAAGCATCTCTTTACACACACACACACACACACACACACACACACACACACACACACAAGCTGGCAAAAGGAGAGACCAAAAAAAATGTAAATATTTTCAGATGTGAAGCACCTCGTGGAACTCGCTCTCAAAGTCACTCACTTTTTGTTTAGCAGGCTGCAGATTGTCCACAAGGGGGAGCTGTTCTGTTATTGTCAAACCAGATCTAAAAGTACAAGAAAGGAAAGCAGCAGCAGTGTAGTCCTACACATTTCTATGCGTTCAAGATGACTTTCGGCAACTTGATAGCCAAATGTGAGCTGCAGGCGACTGCAGGGGCGGGGTATATAAACACTGCCGTCAAGTCGGACACATTCTACCTCCTGTAGAGCGTGTGAGCTTAGAACAATGACTGATCAGGCAAAAGGTGATTCCAACATGGCGCAGCTGGAGAAAAGCAACTGTGGTCAGACTCAGAAAACTGCAGCCACCTTGCTCCTGGGAGATTTTAATGTCATGTGGCATGGTGAAGTTTTGCATCGCCGGCGAAACTCAGACAAATTTTCTAACTAGCATGCATCACGTTAAGTCAGCCATGCGAAGCGGCACATGAAGGCAAACGCACCTATAGACATATTGATGTTACCCCCTACAGGCAAAGAAAGAAATAGCTGCTGTAATTCTAACACCTAACCACCTGCTTGCAGGGATTTCAACACTTAAAGCACGTAGCCTGATGGTTAGACTGAACTGTCATTTTCGTTTTCACGTCATTATTCAGACATTGTGTTCATGTTAGCTGTTTTCAGTTTGGGAAGGGTATTATTTTTCCATGCCCAGTAAGTAGTAAATGATGTGTCCGACACAGAAGACGTTAGCAGTAGTGGCTGATCGAAGCTGTTAACATAAAGTTGTCAATTGAGATAATAGGTTGGTTTAAGGATTATTTCTGTCTGTGAGATTTTGTCTCCATTCTTAATGGAGGCAGGCAACACAAACATAGATCATACTGCGCAAACAAACAGTCAGTACTTAATACGTACTATCAGTTCTGACAACCAAGAAGGGGATCATCCTGCAAGGCTGGTTTGAAATGTTTGAACTTTTTTCAACTCAAACTGGGTTTTTATGGGATATGTACTAGTCATGAATTCAAGCAGACTACAGCTGCTGCCCTCTGCAAAGGAGCAAGCCCCACCAATATATAGAAGTTTAAGTTTAGAGATCTTAGTCAAGGTGTCACTTTAACATAGGCTTTTTTTAGGTATTTCACCAGATAGGTGAGCTCTGAAATTCAAATCAAATCACTGTGTTTTCTCATTCTACTTTACCAATAACACCTTTTAAATAATGCTTATATGGAAAAATGAGTTTAACAGCCATTCGGCAAACGTCGGATGTATGGATGTAGTTTGGTGCCATAATTACTAACCTACATGTTTGTGTTTGTGTGTGTCTATGCCTATGTATGTCCAGGTGTGACCAAAGTGGATTACGGTGACATCACGTCTCGCTCGGCTCTGAGACAAAAGCTTCAGTGTAAACCCTTCAGTTGGTACTTGGAAAACGTCTACCCTGACTCCCAGATCCCCAGGCACTATTACTCCCTTGGAGAGGTACATTCATTCTCACACACACACGTACACTATCTGACTATGTACTGATGGTGTTGCTTGAAGTGTTTTCTGTGTCTATTCTGTTCAGATCCGCAATGTGGAGACCAACCAGTGCTTGGACAACATGGCCCGCAAAGAGAATGAGAAAGTTGGCATTTTTAACTGCCACGGCATGGGAGGCAACCAGGTATCTGAGGACCAAGACAGATGGGGAAAAATTATAACATAAAAAAACAAATACTGACACAAAATAAGACAAAACTGTCAACACTGTTAGCCACAGTGATATTACGCTCATTCCTTCCTGGCAGTAATCATAAGAGTAAGTGAGAATGTTGAGGAGAAGAAAGATTTGCTTTAAAATTCTTTGTGTGATGTGCAGGTTTTCTCCTACACGGCCAATAAGGAGATCAGGACAGACGACTTGTGCCTAGATGTGTCCAAGCTAAATGGACCCGTCATGATGCTCAAGTGCCATCACCTCAAAGGCAACCAGCTCTGGGAGTATGACCCTGTGGTGAGTGGAGGAAGGAGGAAATAATAAAATGATTTACTGGTAGAGTAAATGCATTTACGTTTATTCATTTAGCTGATGCTTTTAATCCGAAGCGACTTACAATTGCTATATATGTCAGAGGTTGCATGCCTCTGGAGCAACTAGGGGTTAAGTGTCTTGCTCAGGGACACCAAAGGCAAAGGGGGTGCTGATGGTGCAGTGGATAAGACCACTGCACCATCAGCACCCCCACATGCACACATACTAACATACACCGAGGGTTCTCATGCAGGTCTCGAAAGGTACAGGAAAGCCTGGAAAGTTATAAATTCCAGAAGCTAATGATAAAAATATTTAAAAAACAAGAATAATGCTGGTGAAATAAAAATCATTCAAATTGTCACATACTGTACAGTCATACACCGTACAACATCTAGTGAAATTCGTTCTCTGCATTTAACACATCTTAAGTGTTAGGAGCATAAGAAATAAGTTTTTGTCTATTTTTACATACAAATACCCTCTGAAACACACTGATCGTGAGTATTTCCTGTTGCAAATAGACACTGAACACTGCATTTTCTAGTTTAAAAATAAAAGTTCCTCCTGCAATGCGCACAACTCAGAAATAGCATCCCGTGTAAAAAAAGAAAAATTTGGCTAAACACAAATGAGGTGCTGATTATGCCCCAAAGTTTGTTTAGATGTAAACTACAAATCAGATTTGTCATTTTTACCCAACTCAACCACAGCATTCCTCACACTTAGAGCTCAGCCAACTAAATCGAGCTTCATAATTAAAGTCTGCAATAAATAAAAAGAGCTCTGTCTACAGATACACTGTGTGAATAGATACTTATGTACATGCCCTTGTGAATTCAAGTGAACCAGTCAAAAGCCTGATTTGCGTTCCCTCTCATACACACTCACTCACACTCACTCTCTCTCACTCTCTGCTGTGCAGAAGCTGACCCTGATCCACGTCAACAGTAACCAGTGTCTGGACAAGGCCAGCGAGGAGGACAGCCAGGTGCCCAGCGTCAGAGACTGCACACACACACGCTCCCAACAGTGGCTACTCCGCAACGTCACACTACCAGAGGTCTTCTGACCACACTCCGCACACTCACAAACACACACACTCACACACACAGCGGCCCAGAGTAAGCAATCGGGGGAACAGACTGTTTATTAAAAATTGGGCACCAGGAAAGGAAAGACTTCCCATGAAGGGGATGCGGGACGAGAGGAGGTGGGATTGGACGGTACTACCTCTGCCGGAGATCAGAGGGAGGAGAGTGTTTGACCCTCCTCGTAGCGAGCAGAGAAGAAGGACTCTTTCCAGGAGAACATGGCTGTTGCTTTATGTTTGTTTTTTGTTTTTAAAGAGATTTTAACCACACTGAGTGGCTTGCTCCTGGCCGTGAATATGAGACTGGCTGGCGGAGTCGTAGTTCTGCACTCACAGCTTCCCCGGACAAAGCAGTCCATCCCTCAGCTCATCACTTAACGTTTACTGACTGCCTCTTATGAAAGAGTGTGTGCCCTTATTTGTGTGTGAATGTGAATTCTGAGATGAATGTATGCTTTGAGAAGGGGGCTGAATTCCTTGTTGATGTCTTTCTTTTTTTTATTTAATGTTGTAGTGGATTTTGAAAATTAACTCTGAACTCTTATGAAGAAGCATGCATGGGCAAGTGAGTGAGAGTGTGGTGTGTGTGTGTGTGTGTGTGTGTGAGTGAGAGACTGTCATGTGGATGCTGTGTGTCAGAGCCCCTCCTACAGTCTTGCAGCAGTGTATGTCTCCCTCTGGTGTCACTCCTCGGCATTTCATCCTACAGACTGAAGCCTCCTCACTGAGGGATTTCCTAAGGGGCTGCACATAAAATAAACAAGAGGACCGACCACGAGGACTCAACGTCTGCCATCGGCAGAGATCTAGAGATAGAGGAATATGTTTGTGATATCTTGAGATTTCTATGTCCAGTTTTTACATGGTTTTGTCTGTTTCTACAGTCCTGTGAGAGTGCCACAGAGCAGTAACCCTAGTCTGTCTGTCCGTCTCTGTTGTCTTTAAAGGTGTTTAACATAGTGCTAACACACTCACAGAGGACTCTGCATATGTAACTGATGTTCACTGCCTAATGTAGTGTTAAACCATAGGGAAGTCTCCCATACGGCACTACATAGTCACACACACACACACACACACATCCTGTATACATATAGGAAAAGGCTGCACTAGCCTGCTACTTTAATCCATTTTCTCATATCTTCTCAATGACCTCTTAAAAAAAATACACTCCAAGGGCTTCTTTCCTCCAGTGGAGTGTGTGGATGAAAGCATCGGCGTGTGTGTGTGTGTGCCTGTGAGAGAGAGAGAGAGAGAGAGAGAGTGTGTGTCTTCAGTACTAATCCCAGTCCATCAGCTCCCTGTTTACTAGAACAAACAGCTCTCAGATTCCTTTGCTGTTGGACAACCAGAGCCCGTAGTGTAGACTGACAGCAGATCAGCGCATCCCCTGCGTCCGTTGTACAAAAGAGTAAAAGCTGCTTTTATTTTCTAAACAGAGCCGAGTCTCTGCACTCGCCTGAGGACGCACAAACAGCAGGAAAAGGAAGCCTGGAGAGCAGTTGTTAGAATATCAGAGTCATCGCTGAGGTGTGTTAGGAGACTTAATCAGGGACAGAATAATAATTGAAAGGAGCAGAAGGGAGTGAATGGTTGAACTGTGGATCACAAAGCGCAGCAGCATACATATCTTAATCCATAAGTACATATCTCACTTTGCAAGCTTTGCAAGATTCCACTATTCGTATCTCAGTGAACCAGACAGCTGAACAGTTACATCAGTCTGTCATTTTCATTTCAACCATCATGCTTTCTTTTTTTGGTTGGTTTGTTTTTTGTATCACTCCTGCTTCTGCGAGTCAGGGCTGGAGAGGTGACTTCATCAAGGTTTTAACCATTTCGCCTTCCTCCAGTGGAGGAAGGGTTTACACATAGGACACCGGGTTCATCTTTGTTGTTGTTTCATGTCTAAGCGAGTGTCTGTACTGTGAAGATGTGAAAGTTTGATTGTGATCGTGAAACAGAGGGAGCATAATGATTGTTCTGATCTTGGGGGAGGGGAGGGGGAGTTGGGGGGATTTGAAGTTGAAGTGACATGTCCAGGCTTCCACACTGAGCTGATCCAAATGTAGAAAATAAAGGCAAAAACGTTTACAAGACAATATGAGGAAAATGTTGATTTCTGCCTCATTTTGTCTGCACACACACGCACTTTCTCTTCCGTCAGAAATGGTTCACAAACATGAAGGTTAAGTTTGATTTTAACTGAATTCATGAGGCGAGTATCCATATTTCAGTGTTAAAATATTTAATATTAAAACGGCGTAAACGAATAAGCTTGAGCTTGACAGTTGTTCTTGACCTTGGAAAACAGCAGCTGACCAAACAATCTCCACTGAAAAGGTGCGCTGTGGAGTTTTCTTGTAAACAAACAAAAGTTCCTCTCACTAAATTCATGTTTTTTTAAACAGATGTTTTAAATATTTTTGCGTCGTTTACGACGTCATCTTCATTGCTTTTGTTGTCACTTTAGAAGAACTCAGTTGTTAACAGAGGAAGCATTGGGCTAGGTGGCAACCACATAGGGTGTGAAATGTGACCGCACCGGCATGACACCCATGGGTGTTAAAAGATCATAATCTCTCTAGAAGACACGAGTCAGGGTAGTGGCAAGAGAAGTGTTGTGGGGAAATGGGTTTCTTTTTCATAAATGTGACAGTGCAGTTTGAAGGTAATAGAGTCGGGCAGCAGACTCACTACATGTTTTGCAGTGGATTATTCAAACTCCTTCATTTGATCTGTTGAATTATTCATTTGTCTGGATTACACCCAGAGAGAGCCATCAGGAAGACGTATTAGACAAAAGTGTTTTGCATACACATCTTTAATAAAAGATGCTGATTGTCTGCTTCTGTCTCCTTAAAGCATCTCCTGTGTAGTATATGGAAAATTAGGACGTTTTCATGCAACTACAGCTCCTTCATTGCCTGGCTCTCCCAAGTTGAGTTGCTCTCACGTCATCAGTGGACAGAAAGGCCAAGAACTCGGATGTCAAAAAGGTCACTCAGCAGGGCAAGTGTCCTCTGTTTCCTCCTGCTCCTCAGTGAAAATCAGCCGGCCCTGTAGATCCAAGAAGCGTCTTCTTCAAGGAGACCCCTCACTCTCTGTCGACGAGTCTGCCTTGGAGGACCTTTTAGAGCTGCGAGAGCGCAGGCGACACCGCTCTGGTTTATATGCTGCAGACTTCAGAGGAACTATGTGGAGTCTTTGAACTGAAGAAATGGATCAAAGCCGAATGAGACTGTGGCCCCAGAGGGAAACGAAAAGACAGAATATTGAAGCGTGTTGAGACGAACAGAGTGAATACATAAAGTTGGGAGTGTGTCCATCCAACTTAGTCGTCTTATTGTTTTATTGATCCTTGTTTGTAAAATCAGCGTATTTCATTATTAAGACACTGCGCTAACTCTCATTACTTTAGACTCATTTTTGGTTTGGGGGAACTGGTCGTATGCTGCATTTTCTCACAAAGAAATAGGAAAAAAAGAAAAGCTATGAATGGTAGGTAATAGTAGTAACATATTACAATAATCAGCAGTTATTAATTCATAATACAAGTATTTTTTTACATTTACTCATTTGGCAGACGTTTTATCCAAAGCGACTTACATTTTGAGGAACAACATATAAGCATCAACAGAGCATCAAATACAGATCTACATTTGACAATACATACTAGTAAGAGCAGCAATAAATACTATTAAGAGCTCATAGTACATATCACATCAATGGGATAAATACCTAGGGAAGGAAGTAAGAGTTCAATACAAGATAATTGTAGGGGATAGAAGAAGAAGAGCACAGGAAGTGCATGTTAGGGGTTAGGAGTTAGAGGTGTTATAAGAGGAAGTGTTCTCGGAAGAGATGAGTTTTCAAGAGCTTCTTGAAGTTCGAGAGGGACGCCCCTGCTCTGATGGCGTGTGGTAGCTCGTTCCACCATCGTGGTGTCACAGATGAGAACAGCCGGAACTGGGATTGCTTTGTGTGAAGGGATGGCAGAGTCAGGCGGCGTTCGTTGGAGGAGCGTAGCAGCCGAGAAGGAATGTAAGTTTGTATTATGGAGTTTAGGTAGATGGGTTCAGACCCAGTAGTCACTCTGTATGCAACCATTAGTGACTTGAATTTGATTCTGGAGGCCACGGGGAGCCAGTGGAGGTCACTGAGTAATGGAGTGACATGAGTCCTTTTGGGCTGATCAAAAACCAGACGCACTGCTGCGTTCTGAACCATTTGTAAGGGTTTCACCGCACAAGCTGGAAGACCTGCTAGGAGGGCATTGCAATAGTCGATGCGAGAGATAACCATGGCCTGTACCAGAAGCTGGGAGGCGTACTGAGTGAGGTAGGGCCTGAATTTCCTTATGTTGTATAGAGCAAAGCGGCATGACCGAGCGACAGCAGCAACATGGTCTGAAAAGGACAGCCGGTCATCAATCATGACACCCAAGAGCAATTGGTAGCCCTTAAGGTCGGCAGGGTCTTTGGTTTTTTCGCCATTTTCTTTCAGCAGCTCTGAGATCAGTACGGAGCCCACGGATGGTATCAGTTAGTCACGGGTGGGACTGGTTTGGGCGAGCAGGCTTGGTGGATTTTCTCAGAAGAAGAAAAAAATGTGTTACAGTTTAAAACCAACAAAATTCATAACATAATTTGATTGTTTCTGCGAATTTCTGGCTTTGACTTACTTATTTCATTTTTACCTGTTCAGAATGGTTTTATCATGTTTTGTCGAGCAGTTACATAAACCATCAGATTATACAGATTATATCACTAGCTTTTACATGCCACAGTGCTCATTTTAAACCACTGAAGCCTGAACCTGAGAGATGGTGGCCAGCAGCATCGTCCATGTGGAGCTACAACTGAGGTTAATAAGAAGTATTATCTTGTGGTCAATTTCTTCTTTCTTTTTTATGAAAGAATAAAGTCTCTGGCGTTTGGAATACGGTATTTTTAACAGTAAAATCTGCTTTGCTTTTTAACAAATTACCCGTGTATGAAGTCACCTAGAAGGCCGTGGGTTGATTCAGCATCAGCTGTCAGGTAAGGAGATCAATCTGGTCACTGTGGGATCCAAACACACACTTGGAACTATTTTCTCATAGTCTTTCTGTATCTGTATATCTGTATCTATTCTGTATATTCTACAGGAGAGCATTAATGTCTACTACATTGTCTGGTGTCCCATATTCAGCAATCACACTAGATATAGAACAAAGACTTTTGCCAGTTGAAAACAAAGTATATGTAGAATTACTTACTCTCAAATATCACAAGTTTGGAGTACTTCCACACAAATTTAACAATTTGCATTTGGATATTAATTATATGGTTATCATCCTGTGGTGGTTGATTAGTTTGCTTTAATTGAAAAGTGTCTGGCTTTACCAGCAACCGTACTGTAGCTTTCTGTGGATTTGATTTATTCTGTCCATCTGTCCAGAGCCTCGCTGACACATTGACAATCTGTAAAGCCTTCACAGAACAGATGACACTGTCTGACTCAGCTCACACAAACACAGAAGGAAGGTTTATCGTTTATTTTTCCAGGGAAAGTTTTTAAATGCATGTTTTTTTCCCTCTCAATCTGTAGTCTGTAAAATGCCCAGTATGGCTCAGTCCTCCACTGCAGGCCAGTAAGCCATTTCTGAAGGAGTTACTAGTTTAAGGGAAATTTCACACATTACCATCAGTTTATTTTTTCTTCTTACTTTTAAACACTGCTGGGAAAAAGTTAAACTGGTAACAGAACCAAACATCCGCTGAGTCATGATAATTGGCTCTTATGCTAATTTCACACAGAACAATATCCTGCTCTGTGGTGAGAATCTTATGCACACGTTAAGAAGGCCACGCAAATATATTAGCAGTTTAGCAGCACGTAAAATGTTTTCTTATCAGTAAAGATTCAAATCCTCAGACAAGCCTGTTTGATGTTTGCATGGACTGACAGGGAAAATGTCCAAAGTAAGTATTTTTCTTGAAACAAATAATAAAACCCTCTTCAGCTGAGTACTGAGTAATAATTAATTGATCTACAGAAAATCCATCCACATTTGATAACATTTTACAGTACTACATTAAAAACAAAAATGCCAAACATTTGCCTGTTTGAGCTTCTCACGTTTGGATTTGCCACTTTTACTTGTTTTATACCATTGCAGTGGTCGAAAGTAACTAAGTACAAGTACTGTACTTGTATACGTATACAAATAAAGGTTAAATAAAAAAAAGAAAAAAGTAAACTACAAGTACCTCTATACAATTTAGAGGTACTTGTAGTTTACTTTTTTAATTTTTTATTTAACCTTTATTTAACCAGGGGGAAAAAACCCATTGAGATAAAATCTCTTTTTCAAGGGCGCCCTAGGCAAGAAAGGGAGCAGGACAGCAAATCTAACAGTACAAACATAAATTAACAGTACAAGATTCAATTAAAACATTTACCCTTTTAGCTACAAAAGCAACAGACGCAATCCACTATCTAACACTATCCACTACAGTATTTCCATTTGCTACTTTATTTGTACTCCACTGCATTTCAGTGGAAATTGTTTTCTCTTACTTCATTACTTTTACATAGCTTAAGTTAGTAGTTACTTTACAGATTAAGATTGTACATCCAAAAAATATAATCAACTCATAAAATATGCTCCTGGACTTAAATTTTACTTTGTTGTAGTACTGGGTGGCACGGTGGTGCAGTGATTAGCACTGTCAAACCCCGGGTTGTCTTTGGCTTCTTCCCACCATCCAAAGACATGCAGGCTAGGTTAATGGGTGACCCTTAATTGTCCTTAGGTGTGGATGTGAGCGTGAGTGGTCAGTCAATTGCAGGGCCACAAATAGACAACAACCACTCACACCCACGGACAATTTTGGAGATACCAAATAACCTAGTCTGCATGTCTGCGGATGGTGGGAGGAAGCTGGAGCACCTGGAGAGAACCCACGTGGACACAGGGAGAACATCACTTCTTGGAAAGTGTAATAAGCGTTGTCAACTACTTTAAGTTTTATAGACCAAACATTTGATAAATGAATTGAAAAAGAGTCATCAGATTAACCTATGATGAAAATTAGCATTAATTACAGCCCTAATTCAGTCAAAAAGCAAACAAATGAGGCACAAAGCCACTGCAGTGTAAATTATAATGTTTATTGTGTCAGTGCATATCCAGTAATTTTGTTAACAGTGAAATCATATAACCGCACACTTGTTCCAACCCAGAACACGTCACAGCACTTGTACCCTCACGCAGCTAACACAGTAGCCATGTATGAGCAACGTGTCACATTACATACATCTGTAAAGCTCGTTTATTGAAGCTTCAAATGACGTTAACTACTTGACACTCTCTGTTCAGGACAGTGCTCCAACTGTAGTTAAAATAAGGAGTGGATGAGGTGAGTTGACAGTCACAGTCTTACAAAAGTACTCAAAACTTGTCAATATCAATTGTGAGTGTAAATGTGCTTCAATACTGACAGATCAGCTATGTGTGTGTTAAAGATGAAAAGCCTGGTTGCATGTGCACTCACAATGTGTTAAAAAAAATTAAGTTAAGCTTGAAATAAATAAAAACAGATTACCTCAGTAATCATCTATTCTCTGATCCCTCTGGATACAGACCAAACTCCGTGAAAGCAGAACGTCTAATCTGATCTACTAAAGTAGTCGTCATAAGTCTAAACCAGAGACATTTGCTATGGTTCAACCATACAGGTACTAACAAAGTGAAACAGTGGTAACAAAGCCTGGTCCAGGAAGAGCAGGAGTCTGAGTCTTTGTTAAAGCAGAGATCTATTGTCGCAAACTCGCAGCTACTATCACTGAAATGTGAAAGACACATGAAGTTGAGTGACAAAGTCATTGACTCCTTCTCTTGAGCCAGGCATGATGATTTTCTATGGCAAGAAGTGTTCATCTTTACATAAACCGGCCTTCACTACAAACTCTATTCTAAACTCCACAAGGAGAGAGGTAGGGCGTACAAGCGCTGCACAACCTCATGTGCAGGGCGGAAATCAGGAGCTTTGTAGATAAAATATATCATCATACAATTCACCACAAACAGCAGGATCATTTTAGGCATTTTTTTTAAACACTACAAAATCAATTTAGGCACTGAGTTCTGAGAGATGATGTGATTAGCATCATCGTTTCTGTCATTCATTATCGTAAAGCCCAACGTCAATGGACCAGGTTTGGGATCAGGGTCAACGCTGGCATCTGTAATTTTTTAGTCTTGAATGAGAGAAGATGGTGCCACATTGAACAGAGAAGCAACTCTGGTAAGCGGACGGCATCATGGGTGACCAGCTGTGATGCCGCCATCTCTTCTCAGTCGGGGGCCGACTCCTGCAGAGCTGGGCGGCGTAGGGAGGAGCTTCAGGGAAGGGGAGCTCTTCCCCTAAGGAATCAGCCAATAGGAAGCCAGGTGACGTTCCACAGGGACACACCCTCTCGCTCTCACTCACTTGTCCTCTTCAGGACAGAGGGGGTGGAGTCCGTGAAGGTCCTGAGAGCAACAAACGAGATGACAATGACGGTACGAATGCTTGTTGTTGATCATCAGCTCTCTGAATGTGTTTCAGATCGGACCGTTACCTGATGGGGTGGAGAGGCCAGCTGGACTGCACCGGTGTTGGCACTGCAGAGCTGGGGCTCATCAGCATGGCACTGTAGATGTTGGCTGCAACTACCAGGATGCAGAGGAGGATGGGCCCGATGATGGCGCCTTCCAGACCCAGATAGTACGCTCCGCCTGCCACTGCCAGACCTGTCAGATACGGGTGTCCACCCCTGAGACACCAAGACAAGAAGACATATAGTATCAGCACAAAGAAATACTTTATTTCCTAATTTAAATGTATTGAAACATGGAATTTCTCTTTATATCTCTGTTCTTGCATATACATAATATAAATCATGAAGTATATAGTAGGGCTGTCCCTGACTAAGGATTTACATAGACGAATCAGAATCGTCAAGTCCTGCCTATAGTCGTCTGATAGTCGAATCATGCGCGTTTTTGTGTATGGCGATTGCGAGCCGAAGCTAAACTGAGGTTTATTGTTGACAATTTTTTCCTCTCTCTCTCTCTCTCTCTCTCTCTCTCTCTCTCGCCTGCCATTCACCGGTCTTGTGCAGAGTTTTGCGTGTATGCCGTGCTGCCAACATCTGCCATCACATCGCGGTTTCTCATGGGTCTAGTTCAAGTAGCAGGCTGTTTAAAAATGATAAAATATTCTTAGTGTGGTATTGGGAGAAAACTGGTAGTTCTATGTAAAATCAGACGCTGAGCACCCCCATATCGCCAAAATGGCATGATCCTTGTTTCACTGCATAGCTTCGAGATTGACAGTCGAATTAACCTCCACCCATCGAAGCATCGAATCTTTGACTATTCAGGGTCAGCCCTATTGTAAAGTTTAAATTACTCAAAGTACCCCAAACCTTTTTAGACCTCCATCACATTGAAAAAAAATCAACAATTTAGATTGCTGACATTAATACATAGCTTTATGGCAGCTCTCAGTTCTTGGATTTTAGAAAGTGCATGCACCATCACAGAGAGGTTTTAAATGGGTCCCTGACTGCAAACAATAACTGTGATTTATAAATGCAACTAGCCAGTCTTTATCATGGATTTTAACAATGGATGGAACACAAGCCAGAGCTACATGAAACACTATTCCAAAAGGAAAGAGACTTCGATACATGGCTGGGCTGCCAGTACCAGCTGAGACTATCTGGCGCTGGTGTTGTTGTCCATCTCAAACAGCTGATGGTTTATAAAACAGACCGAGGCAAATGGACACACTGTTTAGACTTCACCAACAGAACGGTTTCCTTTCAAAGCCATATTCGGGTGCAAGCCAGGCGGTCGGTCTGTTGAATTTTGTTAGTTAAATGTGTCAGTGCTACGAGGAGAAGCTCAAGTAACAAACAAACAGGCTGGTAACAACAGTCTCATGCATACATACCCTGATATGTCAGAGTAGATAGCCGTATCTACAAAATACGTTGGAAGCAGATGGCAGATCAGCAGCAGCACGGCCTTGACGCCTTCGCCCTGCGCCAACCACAGATCGCACACTGCCGGCACCGCTGCCCAGTAGGTCCCCAGGAACGGCACCGCACCCAGGATGGCGGCCAGGGCTTCAGGCCAGGAGAGAGGGATTCACAGAGTGAGCAAATACTGACTGTGGCTTCCCAGGTGCAAGTATAGTGACGGCACGAGCTGCTGTGAGCGCCGCTGACTCACCTGAAGGAATGAACACAATGTTGATGCCAAAGATGGTGTGAGTCAGCCAAGTGTAGAGGCCATAGAAGCCGGCCATTTTCAGAGAGGCGTCAAACACTCCTCTTCAAAACAAACAAACATACACACACGGTCAAAAGTAATCTCCATGAGCTACATGTTTAGATTGTTTAAATGTCATTGCACACTCAGGATGAGTTTTTGTGTGCGCGACTACCTGATGGCCTCTTCTACAGACTGGCCTATGATATTTGAGGACGGTCCCGGCTGGGAGAGGGGGGTCAGGCTGATCACCCATTTGACAGGTTTGTAGTATTCACCACTGGAGCTCAGCAGGTAGAAGAGAGTGGTCAGGAAAATCACCTGCACATAAACAGAAAACAACACAAATATGATAAACACACAATAAATCAAGATTATTCTGCCTGTACCTAAGCTAGGAAAAACACATCACGGAACAGAGTCTTCTTGTACATGTGAACTAACTATACTATAAAAAGGCAGGGCAACCGAACATTCATTCATTTAAATATCAATCTACTGTACAACTAACTAAATAATGAATTGAAAGAAAATTAAAACAAGTAAAATCAGCAAAGGCTCTCCTATAAAAGTATGTTTTAAGAAGGGACTTAAAGGAGTTCACTGACACAGCCGGCCTGATTTCTCTCCCTAACAGACAAATTGCTGTCAAACCAGACGCCAACATTCCTTACAACAGGCTTGAAATGATCCACGAGGGAACCAGAAGAGGGCAGAATTTGTTTTGCCATGTGCTAAGAACCAATAACAAGGATCTCTGTTTTGTCAGAGTTCAGCTGGAGGACATTAAAAAACTAGGGTTATGTTGATAGACAGAAATAAGTAATAAGTAATGTGTTCTTGCATCCTTAACCATTTTATTATGGTTTAATAATAATTCCTTCATAATATTGTAGTGTACTTGGAGACTGGACTTTTTCCATCTGTGCTCCACTCACCTAGATTCTCTTTTACAGCTGGGAATATTGTCATTTATCCAGGGCTGCTTTCTTGCTGGGGACTAAGACCTAACCTTAAGTGATGCAAATGAGGGAGAGCAAGGCGATTCCTCATAATGTCAGAAAACCAAACCAAAAACACCCTGTGTCATTTTGTGCTAAAGGGTTGATCTTTCATACCAGACTCAGTGCAAAGTTGAGCAGGGCGGTGCCGCTGTGGAACAAGACAGTGAAAAGAGTAGTTGTGGTGGAGATGAGGAGGCCAACATTTCGACTCATTACCACCCAAAGAGACTCCAGGATCTACAAAACAGTAAAGCAACAGTAAACATGTCATCCACAGGAACACTGTCCACCCCTTTGAGACACAGAATTGTAAATATGTCAACAATTTACTGCCTCCAGTTGTTGTAACGCCCATTGTGGTCAAATCAGGGCAGTGCTGACATGTAGCATTCCTGCACGTTTTATCGAAATCCATTCACTCATTCTTAGAAATATCAAGACAAACAAATGATGTAGCACTGCCTGGGCTTCAGACAAACTTTTTTAGTATCTGTAATATTACATGCAATGATGGACTGACACATCTATCCAAGCAAAATACATGCAAATCCTCTGCCTCATACAGAAGAGAGCGTTAAACACACCCATACTTACAGACAGCAGAGTCTCAATGTTTTCCTGCAGAAAGGAGGCAATGTCCTTCCAGTCCAGGATGTCGCCCAGCCAGCTGTTCTGTCTCGGAACCATCTTGTGACCACGTTGGCGTCCAGGGTGGGTCATGTTCTGAAAATGGACAATTTTCATGAGCAGGACATTTTAAGGGGACTAAATCAGTCCCCGACATCAAGGACTTAAATGGCCCTGACGTCTACCTTCACGAACCAGGAGTGGTACAGTCTGTCCCAAAGCTCCAAAACCTGTTTCTCAATCACAGCGGTGTGGTTCACTTTGTCACCTAACATCTTATGGAGCTGCACAAAAGAAGAAAGATTCAAAGCATTATAGGCTTCTCTGTTTGGCAAGACTCATATTTTAATATCAATAAAAAAAAATATAGAGGAAATAATTATTCTTACCTTTTGTGTTATCCATTCTCTACCATGTTGATAAACATTAGTAGCAGCTGAATTCAGAGCCTTCTGCACCACACGAGCCTCTGGAAGCCAACTAGAGGACAAAGAGTGCAGCAGATGAGATACTGTAAACTCCAAAAGAGAAAGACATAAAAAATAGGGTACACTGTCATACTTGGCCCATTCTGGATGGTTAGACACAGTCTCGTTGATGAGGTTACTGGTCACCTCGATGATGTGAGCACTTTCATGATGGACCTAGACAGATAATAGTTACTGTGTCACCCAAGAGAGTGCCAGGGCCTCTGAAATGCAGCGAAGTGATTCAAAAAGGAACAAAAGCAGTACCATAGCGGTGAGCAGGAGACCCATGAGCAGCGTCCCTGTGACCAGGAGGAAGATGATGAAGATGCTGATGATTTTATCAAGCGATCGCTCCAGCCACACGACCATCTACGTACATGTAGAGAGAGGAGGTGGACGGAAAGACAGGAAGAAATAGAAGAAAAGGGTGTGGGGGGGGTGAAAGATACAAAGTCAGTCCAATTCTGAAGAGGTTGAAAACATACAGTGATCAGACACATGGAGAAACCTGTGTCCTTCCTCTGTGAAGAAGCCGTTTTGGATCTAAAAGCTGTCCCCTTTGGGCCCTGAGGACAGTAAGGTAGTCAACTGGGCGAACCAACAGCCAGGATATCTGCACACATGCATGCACACATCCTTGCACTTTAACATGTAGACATGCAAGTGAAAACCTGTGTGTGTTTGAATGCATGCCTCTTCTGTCCGGCATATTTTGTTTTTGCGAGCCTGTCCAGTCTTTTTAATAAAAGTTAATTCTGTTGAAATGCGCTGCAATTCTTAACTCAGGTTTCTCAATGCTCCAAAACTGCATCAACAGCCAACTTATAACAGCTTTAGTCTCCAGTTGTATGTGTGATATATTAATGTCACAAAAGCCATGTGTTACTGGAGTCAGCGACAAGTTACAGTGAGAGGCTCTGCTACAGTGGACGTCTGTCTCCCACAAGGAGCCCACGGTATGTTGTTATATTGATGGTGAAATGATATGGCAGTGAAGTTCCCACTGCCTTTGAGCTACACAATGTGATACAGCCCTTGATACTCTCTGTTAATGTTGAACTTTTTTCTTACCACCTATTAGAATGTAGCTTTACAAAAAAATGGAAACACCACATCAGCAAGGACTTTCATAACCAGTTTGTTGAGTATAAATTAGCAGTAAGCATTTGCTTTAGAATAAGTCCAGAGATCAACAGTTACTACAACACAAGATCACTAATGAAGCTTCAAACTACAGTCAGTGCATTTCTTTTTTTATGTGGGGGAAAGGTTTTTAAGGGAAAAACATCATGAGTATGTACATATTTAAAATAACAAGACATCTATTCAGAAATCTCAGGATTGCACCCAACGCCTCTGAAATTTTATCTAAAGGAATCCAGTGAACACCTTCGACACCCCCCTGCTGCTAGCCGTTTAAACACTGTGGTGGATCTGTTCCAGCAGCAATACTTTAAGAGTCAGTAGGTCTAATACCAACAAGAATTGCTATCAGGGCTTTTTATGTCACCATATAAGACTGGTTTCATGTCCAGGGCCAGGGTTCAAGATTAGGGCTGAACAATTTTGAAAAAATATCTAATTGCGCTAATTATTTTGACTAATATTGCTTTTAGTAAGGATCTGTACAAAACAAAGATGTTTTCTTTGCCTTTAACTAATACCCCCCACACCCCCCCGATTTAAATTGCAGTAGACCAAAACATCTCTCAATTCGCTGTCTGTAGCACTCAGCCCCCCTAAGCTCATCTGTACCTACTGAAGATGTAAATCTTTAAAAAGCAGCTCAAAATTTAGTTTCCTTTTTTTTTTATAAAAAAACAGGCTAATTTCCTCAAACAGCTAGACACTGTACACTTTTAGCTAATATTACCCAAACAGGAGCAAATTGTGTATTTAGGGAGGAGAAAAGAGAAAGAAAGCTCTTCTAAGGGTAAAAGTTGGCCCAGGTTTTTTATTTAGTGCTTCGTACTGATAAACTGTTAGGTATTTCCATTGTTTTGTCCATCCCCAGCCCCACTCCCACCCATAAACGCTCCTGAAGCATAACCACATCTCTCCAGGGGTTCTCTCGGCAGTTAACCATCAGGCATCGGCCCGCATATATTCAGAAATGGCCCTCTCCTCCCACTCCACTCTGCTCCGTCTATCTATCTATCTATCTTCTCCATGCAGCTCATACACTCTCAAGCCAAACCTGTCGGTTAGACCATAGCAGGGAAGGTACGGACGGGGATGAGGGGGGCCTAGAGAGTCCCGCCTCCCCGGCCGCAGCTTCCAGGCAAAATAAAACCAGGAAGCAGGAAAGCAGCGAGAGGACAGACACATATACAGGATGAGAGGGTGATGACAGTGGATGGGTAAAGCGCCAGTCCAAGCGACCATAAGGTGTGCTCACGCTTTCTCACACACACACATATATATATATATACACAGGTTATTTATTTCTGTTTTTCTTTCTCGCTTCCTCTCATACACACTCAAGTCTCTCAGCACTCTGCTCCTCCAAGTCATTACCTGCTTGTTAAGCCAATGCCAGAGCTTGGGGAGGAGACAAAGAGACATTGGGAAGATTATTATTGGAAAGATCTGTGCAGCAGTCATCACATGTACCCGTGCGACAAGAACACAACCTCTCTGGGTACACACAGAGGAAGTGGAGCGTGGCAGGCAGGATTTAACTACAGGCTGTATGGGCTGTGGGCTGGCTATACAGTGGGATGCAAATCATTGTGATTACAAACACATGACATAACTGCATCCTAAAAAACATCAGGACAAGGACATCTTTTAGTTCTGTGTCAGCACCTCTGTTTTCTCTGGGTGAGCTGGGTGATAATCCTCCATGTGATCATTACTACGCATCACCTTTCACATTACACATCATACTTTAATACATATTTAATATGAAAAATATTGATTAGTGCAGCTTCAATGTTTGTTTTGACTAAATTCAAGAATAAATTGGTATCTGAAAAATAAGCACAAGAGTATAAAGTGCAATTGCTATTAAAGGAGATTACATATACAAGATTTCCTTCCGAACAGCTGCAACAGAAAAACCATCATCAGGACAAATGATAAAGAAAGGCTCCCACATCAATCACAGAAGTCTATCTGAAACTTGTCTGTCAAGATAACGTCCTGGTTGCAAGCTTCAAACAATGGGAGGAATCCCGTCTCAGTGAACCGCTTAATACCCCTACACACACTTTCAGAGTTGTTACACATTGTCTTCATTACTACTACTTCAACAATTACAGAATATTTTGTCCTCCAATCTTTATACTGCAGCTTCCCAGTTGGCCTGAACTTCAACATTTATTGGCCAGACAGTCCTCAATAGCCACTGAGGGCCTTTAATGTGGACACTTGTATATGAACATGACATGTACCAGTGTAACAGAAAATGTGTGTGTGCCTGGGTGAGGATGTGTGACATAAAAGATGGAGGAAATAAGGACAGCGACTGCGCCAGCAGCACCGAAAGATCGGCCAGAGACGTTACCTTGGTGTCGATACGCAGCAGGAACTGAGCCAGGCCTTTGATTGGTCCAGGCAGCAGGGCCTCCTCTCGCTCGCGTCCGAGCTTCTCCAGCACCGCCCACCATGAGGTGAGAGTCCGCTCTGCAAAGCTCTTCAGGCCAAAGTGGACCACCAGCTTCTTCAGCACCCACACTGAAGTATCAATGCATTAGCCTGAGAACAGCAGATCTGAGAAAGATGCATTTGAAAAGGGAGTGTGCATGCATTTGTGTGTTACCAGCCACAGGGATAGGAAGCAGCTGTAGGATCCAGAGGTTGAGCCACACCTGAACCAGAACGATGGCCCAGACCAGTAGAATAAAGTAGATATCGCTGGCTCTGTGCGAGCTTTTCTCTTTCTGGAACAGGCCACCTGGTAATGAACGAGAGCCACGGGGGAACCCAGGCGTGGAAGGAAGGGGGCCCGCGGACTGCACACCGTCTTGAAAGAGATGAGGACACAGATGAGGGCATGGAGGAAAAGAACAAAGCTATGAGGAAGGGCATTGGCTGGGTGTGCTAAGTGACAACCGCCATGGCTAAATGGTGAAGCCAAAGCAGAAGTGTCTTGGGCTGCAGTTCCTCTAATGGCTGCTAGAAGTGGCTACCTCCACGTTACATTACAACACACAAACTGTAACAAACTGCCTCTGACTGTAATACACAGAGTAGAAAGGGAGCTATCTCACCTGTAGTAGTGTTTTCACTGGGCTCAGTTTTCGGCTGAAGGTTGCTACAGGAGATTGCCATGTAAATAGTGTTAGCAGCGAATGACAACACCTGCCCTGACAGCTCTCCTGCGGAGGTGAAGAGAGACAAAAAACAACGGTAACACATAACAGCAGAGGTGGTGTTGAGCAAAAAGCAGCACTCTTCTGTGTGCGTTTTTCCCGCACAGTCTAATGGTCCGAACTGTGACAGGAATTCTTTTGAGCTGGTCTTGTTACTGATGAAGTAGGTTTCTGGAAACTTAGGATACACGGCAAGACGTAATGGAGCTCAGCCAAGGAGATCAAAACCAAATCTCAAGATCTATTCTGGGTCCACAATGTTTATCCCTTTACTATGGAGTCGATGACAACATCATTATTGGATCCTGAACTCTAATGCTCTAAGCCACATTTTAATTAGCAGGTCACATGCAATTATCAGCCTTATCAAGGCAGCAGCGTCAGTCTAGCCAGCCACACAGACAGGCTGAATTAACTGTAGAGACAGAGTTTAACTTGCTTTGGAGAATCACAGGCTTTGATCTTTGACTTACTTTAGCTCTGCAAATGACACTAACGTGAGCTGGGAAAACCCTGTGTGATATTAGCCTTAAAGAAGGAGCATTCCTTCACACTACCTTTTTAAGGGACAAACCATCCACCTAAAGTCACTTATGTTCCAGGTAAAGCTGGAAATTATAATTTTAAAAAAGTATACAAATTATAATAAAGTCTATTACAGGAGACTCCACTGGTAAGCAATTCATCAAATTTTTTATAAGCTGCTTTGACCCTCTTGACATTTAAAGCAATAGTTACACATTTTGGAAAGTACAGGTATTCGCTTTACTGCTGCGAGTTAGATGAGAAGATTGATACCACTCAGTAAATATGAAGCTACAGCCAGCAGCTGATTAGCTTAGCTTTGCATAAAGACTGTAAACAGGGGGAAACAGCTAGCCTGGCTCTGTCCGACAGAGACAAAATCCACTTACCAGCACGAATTAACATGTTATATCTCTACTGTTGAATTCATACAAAAACGACTTACAAGCACTCTTTTTACCATGTTTATTAATGCCCAGTTGTTGGGGGGGGGGGGGTTAGAGGCTTTTAACTGTGGTAAATGTGAATGTGTGTGTCCATAAATTTTCACCTCTGCCAGGGACAGGTGGTTTCTCTTGAGAGCCCACGATGATGAGCGTGACCACAACCACAAATACGGGCACTCTCCACGAGCCGGTCAGAGACACTAGAAACAGAATCAGAAATAATTTCTTGTGGAGAAACATGTTGCTCTTAAACTGCTTAATCTTCTGTTGACAGTACTGGTTATTTCTCGGCAGAAATGTTGACCTCTGGTTAGGGATGGGTTTCAGAAACAGCCCAGTAGCCTATAGAGTAGAATCGAAATGTCTCCAGTCAAACTAGTACTTCAATCGATACTTTTTGTAACCAAAAATGACTATTTGTATGGTTTTGCTTGCAGCCAAACACGCAAGCAACACACTGAAAGAAAGAGAAGAGCACGCATTTTTTTCCTTAAGTACCTGCACCATAAACTGTATAAAAAAAGGCCTGCACGCGCCGAGTCCAAAATCACCTTCAGCTGCGGTCTCGG